AAGTTCCTTGGACCCAGCTACCTAATAAAGAAAGTATCGGGCATTTCTTTGGGCCTAGAAGTGCCATGATTAAATGATTGAGATTCTAGGGGAGCCAAAACCAAGAAAATTTGGGAATCCTACCCTAGAGGGAAGTTCTCAGTTCAGTTGGCCTGCCCATCTCACTGTTCAGAGCCTCTAATAAGCTTCTAATCAGCAGATAACTGAGAATATCAGACACTGGATGAAAGTCCCTAACATGAAATACAGAGATAAGAAAGCACACACACAAAACACACAGGGAGTCTACCTGGGAAGAAACCTCAGGAACAAAAGGATGGAAGGGAGGAAAGGAGGAAGGGAGAGAGAGGGAGAGAGGGAGAGAGGGAGGGGGAGGAGAAAAGAATCAAGAAGTTTCTAAGGATTAAAAGGATATCCTTTTCCCTTTCCTATTTATGCAAGGAGTCCTTTGCTAATATCACATACACATATCTAATCAAATGTATTGTAAGTGTAGATAATCTCTGATAGTTGCAAAATCTGAACCATGTTCAATACATCTCTCAATATTTCAGTTAGTGCCTGATACCCAAGCTTACCTTGCCAGGCTTTATAGATAATTAACTAAGACTGATATTCTACCAATCTCTGCAGTGCCTCCAAAGGTATTGTAACTGACCTTTTTATATTCCCTGATGGTCTCCTTCCCCTATGTCCATGAAAATGTTCTAACTATTTAGGGAGGAATTCCTGCAAGTCTGTGTGTGCTTCACAATACAAATACTAGTCTTTGGATCTTAGGTGGGCTCCCAAGTAGTTGCACAAGTTAAAGAGCAACAATAACAAACAATAATTGTAATTTGTGACCATAGGGACATAAGCAATAACATTGTTAAAATCAGATATGCTGCCTTCATGTTACACTATTGCCATCATTTTATTTAAAAATTCCATTTTTATAGATTAAACACTGTGTCTACCAGGCAATTATGGGTATATTTTTGTATTCTAAGGAAAATAACAACAAAAAGAATGTTTGTAAGAGGGTCATGTTGCTCTCCTGTTTTTTTCACAGATTGGACTAAATCACAGCAATTAGTGTAACGGAAATGTTTACAGCAATCTCTGATGGCGGTTCCACTAATGCAATGATTTCGCTCAAGCCCAGTACAACACGAACACGTATCATTAGGATGAATCAGAATCAAAAGCAAAGCAACTTTTTGCTTACAGTAATTCAACATACATCATCTCATCAGCAATGCCAACTATAGAATTAAGGATATACAATTAGTCAATCAGACAGTTCCTGAATTAATTAATTAGGCACAGAAAATCAGCAAGCAAGGACAGGACTACATCCAACAACAGACTTCCCACTTTCAGCAATCCTTTTCATTATTTTTTATCTAGTTATCCACATAAATCACAGGGTTATATCGTTGCTATATTTTATATAATGTTATATAAGTAGATATAAAATATATTGTATGTATTATATAAAACACCATATATAATTGTATCTATAATCTATATATTATACTATTGCGTGCAATGTTATATAATATACAAGATTAGACAATACCATAAATTATTATATATCTTTCCCATATGATATTAGTGATTAGGACACATCTCAGATCACCTTTTCCAAAATTCTTACATTAGTAGCCACCACTTCAGTATCTCATAAATTCGCACTCTAAGAGGTTACTTGTCTTTTTTACTTCATCTGAGAATTATTTGTTTTGTTCTCTGCCTGGCAAAGCTATGTTTCTAACAATGCTCATGGGTCCGATCAACTGCTGCCAATGGAACTATGCATAGAAACAGGGTTAAGTGTGTTTCTCCACCAGAAGCAGCAATTCAGTTATGTTGAGGCTCAGATTTTAAGACAAGGAGTATTTCTAAAACTAGAGAGGAACACTGTATAATGATAAAGAAGAACTAAAATGTCAGGAGTGGAATCTATGAGTATATGAATGTTCACTATAAAATTCTACTTTTCTATGTTTGAAAAATTTCAAAATATAATGTCAGAAAAATACATGGAATTGAAATGTATGACAACATTAGCACAAGATAGAAGGTAGTAAATGAAGTTGGTGTTCTTAGGTCTTTGCATAGCCAAGCGGTGAGAGTAAAATTCACAGTAGAATCAAATAAGTCAGAAATCTGTATTGTAATTTCTAGGGTAAGCACTAACAGAGTAATGGAAGATACATAAATTAGCTGGGTGGTGTAGTCGGACAAACTGAATAATAATAAATCTTCTCAATTAGTCCCAATGAAAGTAAGAAAGGGAAGAAAGAATCTAAAACAACTGAGTTAAATAGAAAACAAATAATAAAATGGTAGACAGAGACCAAATATATCGATATTTATTTTAAAAATAACCAAACACTTCAACAAAAGGACAAAGTTGGTAAGACTCAACTTTTCAAAATCCTTTGCTGCTTATAGAAAATATATTTTAAAAATAAGGACACATTATGGCTATAAGAAAAAAATGGAACAGTATATACTAGACGAACAATAACCAAAAAGAACTGGTGTAGCTATAATAATATCAAAGTAAACATTAATACAATAAGTGTTAATAGCAACAAAGAGTGGCTTCATAATTATAAAAAGAATTAATTCATTGGAAAGATGTAAGAATTTAAAATTTTATGTATTTACCACTATAGTCTCAAATTATGTAAAACAAGAATGGGCAACACTACAGGTAAATAGCAAATTCACAATAATACTGAGAGGCTTTAGTAATTCTCTCTTAGAAGCTAGCAGAAGAAACAGACAAACTGTAGGGATATAGAAGATTAAAACAACATGAAACAATCTGACTTACTATATAGAAAACAGTGCGGCCAACAACTGCAGAATTCATATACTTTTCAAGGACACATGGACTACTCACTAAAATTTAAATTTGCCTGGCTATATGAGCATATCAAAATAATTTTTAGAAGATTGAAATTATACACACCATGTTCTCTAATCACAATAGAATTAACCTAGGAATCAATCACAAAAAAGGTAAATATGAAGATCCTCAAGTATTTAGAATTTAATACCCTTCTAAAATTAGTAAGAATTGAAGGGGAAATCACAATGGAATTAGAAAACATTTTGAATTGAATGAGAGCAAAAATGTTATATAAAAAATTTTGAGATGCATTTAAAGCATACTTCCAGGAAGAATTATATTGCAACTCATTCTAATGCAAGAATTATCAAGTCAAGTGAATTTTGTACAAGGAAGGATGACTAGACCCCTGGGACATAACTGAGTCTAGAAACAGACCTACATAGAAGCAACCACTCGATTTATACCAAAGATGCCCCAATGCATTGGAGAAAGATGGTCTTTTTAATAATGGTACATAATCTACTGAAAACCTATATGAAAAATGAATTAACATTGACTTCTTCCTCATACCTGACATTCACAAAAATAAACTTCAAATAGGTTGTACAGCTAAATATGAAAATTAAACAGTAAGGTTTAATCTAGGAGACAGCATAGCAGAAAATCTTCATGAACCTGGTGTAGGTGACATGATAGAGAAGAAAAAAAACCAAAAATTAAAAATAAAAACCTGGAAAATTATACTCTAAAAGTCATTAGTGGCAAAAGAACTTTTGATGCAATGTTGTGAAATACTAATTATAAAAATGTACCCTCATTAATTTAATTTTTAAAATATATTTGTATTATGTTATATACATAGAAATAAAAACAGATAATCACCAAAATATTAATAGTGGCTATCTCTGTGTGACAGGTGTGGATAATTTTTATTCTCTCTGCTTTTCTGTATTTCCAATTCTCCTTACATTGGCATATATTATTTTTACTTTCACTGAAAATGATATGTAATTCCTCTATGGTTGGAATGTTTGTGCAGTCCTCCCACACCCACATTCATATGTTGAAGTCCTAATGTCCAATGTGATGGTATTAGTAGGGGGAGCTTTTGGGAGGTTCTTAGGTCATGAGGGCGGAGTCCTGCTGAATAGGATCAGTGCCCACGGAGGAGGCTCCGGAGAACTCCTGGCCTCGCCACCACCTGGGGACACAGCAGGAAGGCACTGGCTGGGAGGAAAGACGCGGGCCCTTACCAGAAGGCAACAGCGCTAGTGCCTTGATCTTGGACTTCCCAGCCTCCAGAACCCTGAGAGAGAAATGTTTGTTGTTTTGAGCCACCCAGCCTAAATAGACTAAGGCGATCCCCCTATTTTAAAAGTAACAATTTTACTGACCTCAAACTGTGTGGGATTATTCTGATAAGAAAAAATCAGAGACAAGGACTTACTGGTGGATGAACACATGACCAAGTCCCAGGGAACAGCTCAGTATTCAGGTTAGGAAACCAATCTATACAGGCATTTTCCAATTGTTTAATCAGCAAGAATCATTCTTTAAGTAGTACATTTTCCAAAGGAAATCCACATTTCATTATAAAGATAGAACAAAATATCTATGTTCTCATCATCCAGGGGCAAGTAATGTAGGGGACAACATCAGAATTTGGCAAATTTATACAGAGAAATCACATTCTATGGCAGAAAAAAAAGTGTTCATGAAAAGTGGGTAACCCAGTTTCACTCCAGGTTGTGACCCCACTGCGAGGTGCCTGGCCTCAGCCCACAGTTACAGCATTTTCTATCAGGACCTTGGTACCAGAACTGCACATGGGGAGGAGCAGAGTTAGTTTGAGGACTCAGTGAACGGAAGTGTCTAAGGGGATGATCTGGGGAAAGAGGAGTAAAGGAAATGCTTTCTGCCCAGAAGCTGAAGCAAGTAGGGAAGGCAAGGAAAATATGGGAACGCCAGGAAACAAACTGAATCCTGTTCCTCACTAGGGAATACATGGGGGTTTTAAATACAGAACCACAAACTGCTAAGAGCCAATTTAGAGGAAGTTGTGAAATCTGCCCAAAGTCCACAGTTGGTAAATAATTGAGCTGAGATCTGAACAAAGCCTGTGATCTCCTTATGGCCCAAACACCTCCCAGGAAACAGAGGGTGAGCAGGATGTCCCCCACCGGGACACCGGAGGGATCACAGGTGTCTCAGCATTCCTCTCCCACCATCCGAAAAATCCCAGGAGAAAACATGACTGAACAATCTCCCAACCAGGTGTCTGTAAAAACAAGAGGTAAGAAAGAAGGAAAACCAAGGCAGTGTTAGGATGTATAATTGGGATGATCAGTGTCATGTTTTAAGACTCTGCTCTCAAGAACAGAGGGGCCTCCATGCACGTGGTGTGGGTGGGGGCAGGGGGGTGGAGCTCGGTCATTGTGTGTTAATGTCCTCTAAGGTTGCACAACACACAGCCTTACAAATGTGCAAATAAGCTGAAACTCTGCAAGAGTATATCACAGATTATTTCTCAAATATCTGCTTAGAGTAAACCATGCAACATGCAGGTAAGAGAAATAGAAAAGAAAGGGATGGCATAACTTCTCTTGTCAGGGTACCTGCTGGAAAAGGGAAGGTACTCTGAGTTTGCTGCCAACATAGGGAAGTGCCCAAAGTCCTTGCAGGCTGCTTTCCTCGAGGCATCAAAGGAAGCCCAGAGCTGACAGGAGGTCCCGCATCGAGGACAAATGGCCAGGACGTCTACTCTCAGACGCCTGCAAGGGTTCTCCTCACAGGGGGACCATGGTAGGGGAGGATGGTGGGACATTCATGTCTCAGTCCCAAAATGCCACCGTCCTCCACACAGCACAGTCGGTTCCCGGACCTGTGTCACTGCCTGACTTTTAACACTTCCCCCTGCGTTGGCTTTATTTCCCTGTCTTGTAGCTTTCTGAGTTAATCAAGGGATAATGATTTTTAGTTGATAGTTTCTGTGTTTTTCAAAGTAAATGATAGTTAATTGCCTAAGTAATAAGTACATAATAATAATGCCAAAAATACAGGGCCTTCCTTGACTACGAGCCCCGTCTTACCACCACCAGCATCACCGCCCAGTTCCATTCCCCTCTCCAAGGTCGGACACTGTCATCAATCTGGTATAAAGTTTGGTCCTTTCTGGACCTTTTTCAATGTATTTAAAAGATATATGTAACCATAAATACATACTTATATGGTGATGTCATTTACACAAATAGTGTCATGCCATGCCTATTGTTCTCCAGCTTCCTTTAGTCACTAAAACAGGGGTGTCAAACTCATTTTCACCAGGGGCCACATCAGCCTCATGGCTGCCTTCAAAGGGCTGAAATAATTTTAGGACTGTATAAATGTAACAACTCCTTAACCATCAAGGAGTTGAAAGAACATTCAGCCCTTTAAAGGCATCTGTGAGGCTGATGCGGCCCCCGGTGAACATGAGTTTGACACCCTGACTTCGCGCATCTGTCTTGGGAGTCTCACTGGCAGCGCACACCGATCTACTTCATTCCTGGTAACTGCTGTATACTTAAAACGGCGGCCTGGCCTGCGGTACCGTGTTTGTTCAGTCACTCCCCCACTGCTTCCGTCTTTACTATCACAAATGATGCAGTAATGAGTGTCCTCGTGTGTAAAAATTCGGGCATGTGTTCAAGTCTTTCTTTGGGACAAATGTCTTAAGTGCAACTGCTATAAATTATAACATCTTCAACAAAATTATCTTCCCCCCAAGGCAAAACCAATTCACACCCTCACCAATCATGACAGTGTGTGTTTCTCCCAGTCTTCACCATCACTGGGCATTTTTGGGTTTCCAGGGACCCCATGGGCAAAAATAGTGTTTCCCACTTTCAGTTTTAATTTCCCTGGGTACTAATGAGGGTAAGAGGTAATTTTTAAATGTCTTAGTTTTATTTTGTTTTGGGGTTTCCTGTATTTTATTCTTTTGTTTTTTAATATATTTTATTGAGTATGCTATTATAGTTGTCCTACTTTTTTTCTAGCCTTTATTCCCCTCCACCCTGCACCCACCCTCCCAAAAGCATTTCCTCATCTTAGTTCATGTCCATGGGTCGTACGTATAAGTTCTTTGGCTTCTCCATTCCCACATTATTCTTAATCTCCCCCTGCCTATTTTGTACCTACCAGTTATGCTTCTTATTCCCCATACCTTTCCCCCATTCCCCCCTCCCCATCCCTGCTGATAGCCTTCTATGTGATCTCCATTTCTGTGATTCTGTTCCTGTTCTAGTTGTTTGCTTAGTGGGTTGGTTTTTTTTTAGGTTGAGTTATTGATAGTGTGAATCTGTTGTCATTTTACTGCTCTTATTTTTTATCCCCTTTTTCTTAGAAAGTCCCTTTAACATTTAATATAATAAGGGCTTGGTCATAATGAACTCCTTTAACTTGACCTTATCTGGGAAGCACTTTATCTGCCCTTCCATTCTAAATGATAGCTTTGCTAGATAGAGTAACCTTGGATGTAGGTCCTTGCCTTTCATGACTTGGAATACTTCTTTCCAGCCCTCTCTTGCCCATAAGGTCTCTTTTGAGAAATCAGCTGATAGTCTCATGGGAACTCCTTTGTAGGTAACTGTCTCCTTTTCTCTTGCTGCTTCTAAGAGTCTCTTTTTGTCTTTAATCTTGAGTAATGTAATTATGATATGCTTTGGTGTGCAACCTCTTTGGGACTCTTTGAGCTTCCTGGACCCCCTTGAAGTCTATTTCCTTTGTCAGATTGGGGAAGTTCTCCTTCATTATTCATTCGAATAAATTTTCAATTTCTTGCTCTTCTTCTCCTTCTGACACCACTAGGATTCAGATGTTGGACCATTTAAAGTTGTCCTGGAGGTTTGTAAGCCTCTCCTCATTTTTTCTGAATTCTTGTTTCTTCATTCTGTTCTGGTTGACTGTTTATTTCTTCCTTCTAGTCCAAATTGTTGATTTGAGTCCTGGTTTCCTTCCCTTAACTGTTGGTTCCCTGTACATTTTTCTTTATTTCACTTTGCATAGCCTTTACTTCTTCCTCTATTTTTGCAACCAACTCAACCTTTCCTGTGAGCATCCTGATCACCAGGATGCCTAGCCTGCCTAGCCTGGGATACCGTATTTATTCAAAAAATATATATATATATTCATCTTCACATGCCTTTTACATAGTAAGGGGCGCAGACATAGATATTAACCAGAGTGGGGCAACCCCCATTACTTCATTGTGGCACCGTATGTGGGGAAGGAGTCCAAGAGGGAACAATGTTACTTGCTCGACTCTCACCCTCTCCACCCTGGCTGCCAGTCTCCACCCCTCCTACCAGTCTGGATGAATGTTTCTTCTTTAACTTCTTGGTTGCCAGACTTCTCTTCAGTTCGATTTTCTGGCAGTTCTGGTTATTTTTTGTCTTTAAATTTATTGTCATGCTTTTGGTTGTGCAAGGAGGCAAAGCGTCTCTACCCATGCCTCTATCTTGGCTGAAGTCTTTCCTATATTTTATTCTATTAGATGGTTTTGCTTTTTCCCAATTAAATCCATGGTCCATCTGAAGTTTATTTTAACTGCATATTTTGTTATAAAGAAAAACCCTAATTTTTTTTCCAAATAGGAAGTCAATAATCTGCCCATCATTTATTGAAGGTTTCTTTTTTCCACAGTGATTTAAACTGCCATCTAAAATCTATATAAATTTTCACTTATCACGGGTCAACTGCAGAATTCCCTATTTGCTTCCACTGATCTATTACTATAATAGGAATTGTTTTAATTACTAAAGCTTCATATTATGTTTAATGTCTAACAGGGCAATATTGATGTTTTGTATATTTTTTTCCAGATGACTTTCAAAATCAACTTGAAAAGTTTCTCAAGAAAACCCCATTAGGATTTATTTAGAGTCTCTTTTCTGTCATTTAGTTAAGTTTTATAGCTTACTTAATAGAAATCTTACATAGTTCTAGTTGAACTTCTAAGTTTTTGTTTTTGCTTTTTGGCTGGGCACATATTTACATCTGATATGACTTTGCTCTTTGCCAGTTAACTACTACCCAACCACAATACAATAAAATTATTATTTTTGCTAGATAGTTTCCAAAATTTACTCAATCACCATTAAATTTGTATAGATTGTGCTGTTCTGTTTCCTGGATCTACATTTTGAATTCATTTGGTCTGTAAACAGCATAAGAACATTACTAAGTTTTCTTGACTGTGTTGAGTGACTGGCAGACCTGCTTCAAGAAACTTCCCACCCTAGACCTCTTCTGTACTGGGCTTGCTACCTTTTCCCAACCAAAGCAGCAATGCTTCTCCTATTTCATACACAAGGGTTCTATATCCATTTCATGTGAAAGCAAACTCCCCTGTTAAAAATTTTTTTTGAAAACCATTGTAGTAGATGATTTTCTAATCATTATAGTAGGAAACACTGGAGACAAAGGGGCAATTTGGAAGAAATTCAAGACTGCCTACTAAAGACACTGCTGGCAGGGCCTACAGACACCCCTGGGACCCATTTCCTTGCAGAGGTTCATGGTCTACAACCTGCAGTGTTCCTCAGCCTGCTAACTGGACTTCACCTGCCACCCCCTGTTCTTAATTGCCCAAATCTCAAGATCTGCCCTCATTCAGCAATGTAGAGCTTCAGCATTATAAGTTTTCATGAGACAGTCTAGTCTCTTCTTCAATGCCTACCAAAGGTTGGATGCTACTAATGATATTTAGAAAAGACTATATAAGAATGTGTAGATATAAGAATCTACAGCTCATCAAGAACTCTCAGATTTGACCCTTGGATGGGATTACACAGCTATAAGAATAACTATTTGGACCTTGTGAATACAGCTCTGAGAAAAATCACTACACTCAACTAAATAATGTACTCTGGTTTCGATTTAAGGTCATTCCAAGAGTCAATGAGTGAATGAATGAACAATCAAGTTTAAAGAGAATCAATTTGCAAAGCAAGAAGCTATAGTTTTGTCACTGTGGTCAGCTGTATTTAAAAGCTATTAGAAAAGGAACCAATGAACTTAGCCTCTTCTCAATTCAGTTAAATTCTTCACAGCCAAAACAAAATATAATTACTAGAAATACCTCAGCATTAGTTGGAAAGTTTAAGTATCAGAAAATATTTATTCAACATAGAAATTCTCCAATTAAGTAGTATTTCTAGCTTTAACACTCCAAGACGCTAAAACTTCAAAATGAATATTCACTGCAGAGGGCTTGCTTTGTGTTTAATAAGAGTGACTTAGCCAATTTTATGGGTTATGTAAAATTCTGGATTTTCTAACAAAGGTGTAATAAAAATTTCAGGATAGATTTACTTCACAATTTAGACCTTTGCATTGAACAACTGCATTTTTTATTAAGTCATAAAATAACAGGTATGTGAAAGGTGGCTACAGGAGTTATCCATTTCTCTCAATGGAGAAATGAGCCAGAATAGAAGATTTTACTAATCACTTACTACATTTCTTTAATGTATTTATGGAACTCCTTACTCAATTCTGATGGAAAAAGTTGGTTCCCCACATACACAAAAACAAAAGAAAAAGGGAGGAAGCGGCAGTAACAGAAGCCAGTCCCTTTGACAATATAAAAGGTTATCTTCACAGATACCCTACATACCTGTGCTTAAAAATAATTTTATATAATTATTATAATGTTCTAAAAATGGTAGAACCATCGGCTAGAATGTTTCTTTCCTAGAACTTTCTGTGGGTGAGAGAGGCTCAGCTCCCTGTCACTTCCAGGAAACCCTCATCATATAAAGATGTGTTTCTACGTTTTTTCACAACAGCTCTGCTCTAGCCCACTTGGGGAAGAGGGCAGGGTGGAAGGCAGTAGCTGCTGTGTTTGTGCAACTCTCTGGCTTAAATCAAGACAGATTTAATTTTTTGGTTCATTATTATGCATAGTCTTCCAGATTATTCTCTTAAGGGTGTTGTATAAGTTTTTAATACTGCATTATTTTACCAGATAGTTTTGTCAAGCTATGAAGAAGGACTTTTCTCTGTAGTGCAATACAAAAGTTTTATAGGGCCCATTTTATAGTTTTTGTTCTTTTTGAAGAGCTAATACCTGACCATTTCTGATATATATTTGGTCTTGACAGCTCGGGTGGACACATAACTCATCAGAGGAAGCCCGAAGTTCTTGGTGTCCAGCCTCTCTGCCCCAGAATGCACGTGAGTAAACTGCTTACTTGTGGTTGCACGAAGGCCCTGCACGAGGGACGCATAAATCAGTAGGCATGGGGGTTTTCAGACATTTGGCGTGGAAAATAGATTAGTAACTCTGTTTTATTGCAACTTTTGTTTCAGTATCTGCCAGGGGATTTCTGGAACATGCTAAAAACAAAACCCTTTCTAGCATGTGGCTGAGGGAATAGACATTTATCCAGTTATTAACATTCCCTGGCTCTGAAGGATGACAGAAACACACAAACACACTCAATTCATCATCCTGCCTGATATTTTTAGATTCAAGAGAAAAAAAAAGGCTGAGAAGTTTCCCATAGGAGAAACTGCAGTTATGAATGAGAGCCCTATGGAAGGCCTTGCTCTACCCCCTTGACAGCCAGAGTGCCGCTGAGCAAGACCCAGTGTGCGGACAAGGGACTCTGCAAGACAAATTTCCTCCCATGTGGCATAAGGCATTTTGCTTTCCGAATTTATTAAAATTGGAAATTAACTAACTAGAAAGCATTGAGGAAGTGAAGTTAAGCACAGTAGCTTTTTTTCCAAGGTACGGTGATGAATCAACAATGAAATCAGAATCTTGACTTATGTCATGGAAAGAACCCGAGCCCACTTCGGTCCCACGACCTGGTCGGTTCAGCAAATTTTTGAGTTTAGTCCACCCCTTCTTTCTGTATATAAGGGACTGCAACTCAGAGTGGCCAAACAATATGCCGGATATCACCACCCAGCTAATTAGCAGTTTGGTGAGACAAGAAACTGGGTTTTCCCTGAACCCTCTGAACAAGTGAATGTCCAAGGTGGAGCTGAAGGTCACCTCTTTCCGTGGTCCCTACTCCTCACACAAAAGCAGTTACAGTTCCTGCCATGCTAAAATTGTATTTTCCCCCGTCTCCCTAGATTTAAAGCCTATAAAAGACTGCGTCAAGTTTTATCCATCTTTTGATATCAGCTCTTACCATAACACCTAACACGCTGTAGTATAAAGTAATGCTTCTTATAATTGCAGCTAACTTCTACTGAGCCCCTAGTTCACGTCAGGCCTCTGCTGCCTCCTTAGTGCATGACCTCATTTGGTCCCCACAGTGTCCTTGGAGGTAAATACTATTGTTGATTCTGCTTAACCAAATGTGAAATAGAAGCTCAACAGGGCAGCGTGCTGAGGGACTGGCAGAGCCTAGACTCCTTTTCCGTTCTGTCTGGCTGCTCAGTCAGTGTGAGTTCAGTGAGTGAATGAGGGAGGCAGCTCAGTGTTGGCCACCTGCACTTACCCCATGTTAGCTTTGCCACTTCATAAGTGTCTAGATTAGAAAAACAAAGCCTGTGGCTCCTCTCACTCCTCCAGCACAGAGAGGAAGGTTACGCATGTGGAATGCATAAGACTGGGGAAGTGTATCAGAGCCTCCCAGTGAGTGTAAGACCCCTGGACCGCTTCCATTTTTTGAGGCTCTCAATACAGTAAAATATGAATAAATGCCAAAACAGGGTTACAAAAATAACAGCACATTTTAAAGGTTTAGTCCTGGCAATGAAGCCTTGTGACTATGCATAACCTCATTTGAGGATAATGTCTAAATGTACGTTTCCAGACCCTTCATAAATATGAATGCAGGGTCTAACGGTCTTCTGATCCCACCCTGGGATAAGCCCCCATTAATCCTAAATTTACTCACTGAGTTCCTTTTGTGGAGTTGTGATGAAACTGTTTGCTATTATTATTCCAATAAAGCATTTACTGTACAAAGTACCTTACAATGACTAATTATGTTGAGTGGTTATTTCTGCCATTGAATATCATGGAAGCAACAAAGAAAAATATCTTTCTGTCATATAAAGTTGCTGTCTACCCCTTGCCCATTTGACAAACTAGACATACAGGTGGTTGTCTCAGTAGAAGCAATAGAGGCGTAATGAATTGCTAAACTTTCTTCTCACAATGCAGATGTCACAGGTTACCCCTTCGGGAAGAATGCAATGCCACAGCTACAGTACAGCATCTTGAGCACCCAGAAAGGTGTCATTAAAATTAGTATGTGCAGAATGTAAGTACTTTCTACTCTATGAAGAAAAGTCTTTGAGAGACAACTGTTTTATTGACTCCTAGTTGATCTTGGAATTATTCAGCAATGCCAGGACTTTCTCTGCAGGTCAGCGAAGAGGGTTTGAATTACCTTTTTATAAATTATTATTCAAAAAACTTACTTGTTGTCCACATTTTCGCTTTGGACCTAAACTAGTTGGTGTCCAACTAATATCAGAAATTCTAAGTCTCGTCTCATTGCAACTATGTTGAATGAATTCATGTAAGTTATTTTCCTCTTCTCCAAAAACTGTAATATTTTCCATCTCCTCAGAAGTAAAACAACAAAGACAGTTTATGATTTGTTAGCCTTTCATTCATGTCTACCAAAGACTGAAAGATGCCATCCAATTCTGATAGCCCCAGTTCTGTCCCACTTATTGTAATTAACCTTGACTTCCTACAGCCAGAACCCACCCACACAGGTGCCTTTTTGTAGGCAAACTTGAGCAGCAATTAGTGCTTAATGTATCCTTTTAAAAAGAAGCACCATCTTCAAACCATCTATTTAGTTATTCAGTAAATATAATGAGCACCTACCACGTGCCAGGCATATCAGAAATATGTTATTTGTGCTCTGAATTGAAACTGACATTGCACTTTCCCATAGAAATATTGTCACTGACATTGTTACTCTTAGACACACACAGGTAGGGGGCTCTGCCCAGAATTCAAGACTCAGGTTCCTGGGCATTAGAGTCCCTTCTGATACCTATGACTGGCCAAAGCCGGCAGCACCCACTGGGCAGGCACCCTGAGCCCGGACCTGCAACTGTATGAGCCTAAGTCCCCTTTTCTTCTTGGGGCTCTCCACACTTCTATTGCTTCCACATTATGGTGTTGACCAGAGGCACCCGTGACTCCAGAGCTCACTCCTATGGGGTCAGAATGTCGCACGTGGGCTCTGGTTCTTAGAGGGTGGAATGCCAAATGCACAGTATCTTCTGGCCAGTGTGGGGTTTTTATTCTACTGTGATGATCAGATGAGACTGGACAGTAGAATCATGCTGACACTCTGGTTTGTATAACTCGCGCTGCTTATACAGACAGGTGCCCCACAAAAAAACCTGGGACTCTGTCACACCATAGGTCTGTGCACCGAATCACCTAATTGTTATAATAATAGGTTAGGTGTCCTTAAAAATGCGTTATAATTTTAATTTACATCTTAGTTGAGGGTTAAATTTATAAGCTAAGGATATAAGTCATCAACAAGCCTAGGAACCTACCTTATTTATAATTTTTAGGATAGGGAAATGCTTTCTTTTTTAAGATATTATTTATTTTTAGAGAGAGGGGAAAGGAAGGAGAAAAAGTGGGAGAGAAACATCAATGTGTGGCTACCTCTCACGTGCCTCCTACCAGGGACCTGGCCCACAACCCAGGTATGTGGCTTAGACTAGGAATTGAACTGGTGACCCTTTGGTTCACAGGCCAGCACTCAATCCATTGAGCCACATTAGTCAGAGCAGGGAAATGCTTTCTGATTACCAGACAACTATAATAATTTTCAAATAAATTTTTGGGACCCAATCCATCCTAAATTTGAGACTATTTTTATTGCTCTATGTATATACTGTAGAACTCATTTATAAAATGGGTAAATTGTTGTCCTGGCCAGTGTAGCTCAGTGGATTGAGTGCCGGCCTGCAAGCCAAAGCATTGCTGGTTCAATTCCCAGTCAGAGCACATGCTTGGCTTGTGGGCCAGGTCCCCAGTAACTGACTGATGTTTCTCTTGCACATTGATGTTTCCCTCCCTGCTCTCTCTAAAAAATAAATTAAAGAATAATAAAGACAGTCAAATTGTTCCATGAAATTCTTACTGTAAAGCTTTTTGGAAACAATGCAAAGAAAACAGCATGTGCATGTTTCTGTGACTTATTTATGTTATTCATCTTGTGCCTCAGAACACTTAACTCAATAAAATGCCCATAGTAGACAGACACTCAACAAATATTGGCTGATCATCATTTTTCAGTAGAAAGTCTTCATTATGTATTTTTCTTCACAAAACAGTGTCTGTAGGTGCTTCATAACTGGTTGAGTTGAGACCTTTTATGAAGAAAACAAAATGAGAAAGCTCTATGTAACACATGAGGATATCTTCCTCCAGAAATTCTTCTGGCTTCATAACCTCATCGGAACTGCCAATGTTTTTTCTTGTGGCTCAATAACAACAACAAGAATGACACAGCCATCCATAGCAGTAAAAAATGATTAAAAAAAAATGGGACAATGACACAAATCCCCTGAAAATGATTCAAAAACTCTCTCACTCGGGGAAAGACTCTACCTCAGTTTCTCTCTTCTTTGTCTCTGCCTTTGCTTCTCTCACATATACTCAGACATGAACATACATGTGCACACATGCATGCCAGTGGGTGCACACCCACACACACCCCACTTCCACCCGACAGGAAACAAGAAGACAGTGTGGAGCACATGGTTTAGGTCAGTGCGAGCTCAGTGAAAACAGCCCCTTCCAAAACAGGTACACGAAACTGTGAGAGGCGGGACCCATTTCCTGAGCCAAGAAGAAGTCTGAATTCCTGGTTCAGTTAACTGTGTGTTTCAGTCCTACACTTAACAAGCAACTAATTTTCATGTTCAATATAAAAACCAATATTTAAAGAATGCTGTGTGTACATCATTGCCATCTATGCAAATAACTGTTAAGAATCTCTAATGTTATATTTCCCACGTGTTAAGTATCAATGAGAATAAAAGATTATTAATCAACAACTACGCAGTCTCCACAAAGTAAATGACCTCTGCCTTTCTTGACAGTTCCATGGTGCCACTGAAGTAGACGCTTTCAAAACCAAATGCTTATGATCTATTTTTAAAAATATATTACACATGCTGGTAACAAATCAGAAATCCCGAGAAACTGAAATGCACCAAATGAAAAGTTGACACCATGCCTCGTGGGTTTCAGAGTTCAGCTGAACAAGGTCCAAGAGCCTATGTGCTAACTTAATCCTGGCTGAGTAAACCATATTTAAGCACATCAAGAGAACGTGATACTGTATTTAAACATATTCTCTGCTGAATAATCATTGCTTGCTTACTATATTTTTATAGAAATAGAGAATTGAGGTATCAAATTATCCTAAAGCAAAAAAAAAATTAAATTTGACTCCTAACGCATATAACCTGAGAACTGTCTCACTGTAAATCTTGGCTGTATCTAATTTGCAGATGAAAGGGTAAACTGTGGGTCAAATATCCCAGTTTGCTAACTCATAATCATCAAGATTAGGTTTGCGTCTTACCTTCATTGGTGTTATTCCTTTAATAGTAGAGTCTCCTCATAGACAAAACACACTGAGACAAAGCCTTTGAGGCGTCACTCTAAGGTAGAAACAATTCCCAAACTCAGCATTCCCCTCTTGTCCTCAGGGCATGTTCCAGGGGACGCCCAAAACTACGGATAGTACAGGACCCAAGAATACTATATTTCCTATACATCCACGCCTATGATCAAGGTTAATTTATAAATTAGGCACAGCAAGAGATTAACAACAATAACTAATAATGAAATAGAACAGTTATAACAATATATTGTGATAAAACTTATGTGAATGTGGTGTCTCTCAAAATATTTTGTACTCACCTTACTTCTTCTTGGGATGATGATAGATGATAAGACGCCTGCTTGATGAGATGAAGCAAGGTGAATGAGACATTATTAAGTAAAATAAGGCTTACTTGAACACAATCACTACAGTAGTAACCCAGTAACTACATCAGTAGCTACAATAGTAACCTAGACCACTACGGATGGGAGCAGAGCTCAGGCAGACAGACAGCTCAGGGAGCGCACATGGCCTGCAGCTGGTTCACATCTCAGGCAGAGGGGGCAGGTCTCGCGAGATTTCATCATGCTACTCAGAACAGCACAAAATTTGAAACTTATAAATTCTTTCTGCAGTTTTCCATTTTATCTTTTTAGATGGTAGTTGACCCAGGGAACTGAAACCATGGAAAGTAAACCCACAGATAAGGGGAGGACTACCACTGCAGTCAGGACCGACTTGCTGCTCAGCTGGCAGAGGACGCCCGCACCTTTCACCTGCGGGCCGCGGAACCCAGCTGGAGGCAGTGAGACAGGCGTTCACTGACCCACTGCAAAGTGGGCCTTCTGCAGGCAGTCACTTCCTTAAATTTCACCTAAAGGTTCTCCCTCCTCAGCCACTTTCAGGTTATTCCACCCGAAATCTTACTTTATTATTTCACCCCATGCCCCAGGAAGGTGATAATCTCTTCAGTGTTCCCATCTCCTCCGTTCCCTCTGGGCCGTAGCTTTAAGATTCGCCCCCACCACCTCCACCTCCAAGACTTTTACTGTATCTTGATTTTCTACTTCTGCTCTGCATTTCTCAGAATCTTCCCTCCGATCCACAGTTCTAAGCAATCAGGAACTTTCAAGAACTGGCAATGCTCCAAAGCAGGGATCTGCAAACATATTTTTGATACCCATTAGATCTACAACTAACTCCAATAGTTTAATGGAATTCTCTAAAGCAGATAACTTTTCTTTCATGTTAACATAAAGAAAAATTTAGTGAGTGGTGCTGTGGGCTGAACTGCATCCCCCCCAAATTCATGGGTGCGAACATTAACGCCCAGCGCGCTGGGATTTGGACATGGGGCCTTCTGGAGGCAGTCAGGGTTAGATGAGGTCAAGAGGAAGGGGCCCTCAGGATGGGACGAATGCCTTCATTAGAAGATACCAGAGATCTCTCCCTCTCTCCCCATTCTTCTTCCTCCTCCCATCATCCCCACCATCACGGGAGGACACAGCAAGAAGGTGACATCTGTACACCAGGAACTCAGCCACGCTGGCGCCCTGATTTCAGACTTCCAGCCCCCAGAACAGTGACAAAGTAAACTCCCATTGTTTCAGCCACCCAGGCTATGGTGTTTTGTGACAGCAGCCCAAGCTGGCTAAATACAAGTGGCTTTGATTAAATTGTCCCTAAAATCCTTTCCAGCTCCAAATTCTTTGAATTTATATGTCATTTATAAAAATATGATCATGCTGGTGTGGGGAGTTGATGGATGAGAGTTACTAAGGATGGGGAGTGAAATTGTTAGGGTCAGAGATTCAAAAAAGTGTGAAATAAATGGCAAATTATCAAAACTCCCCAAGGGCAGTAAAACCCTGTCTTAAGAATTACCAGATGCAAATTCTGTCTTGACCTCCTCAAATGTGAGTGATCACCTTTACCCTTTTCTGACG